ATGTAATATTTGTTAATTTCACTAAAGAAAATGTTTAACTGTAAAAAGTAGGGGTGTCACAAATTTATGCTCAATTTCGATTATCGAATCAAAAAATAGAATCGTCGATCGTCGCCCCCATGTCACGTCAGCTTGGCTTGCCAAGCGGGAAAATAACAGGCTTGTTGAAGTGCTTGTTGAACTGCAGACGCAGGAGACCCGTCGACAGAGCTTAAACCCTCTCCTCTTTCAATGAAGTCGCCGGTGAGTAAGCATTTTGGATTTTATGTTATGTATGTTTTGTTATGTTGACAACGTTTGTGTTGTCGACAAAAAAAAAAAAAGTTTTGCAAGCTCTGCTATGTACGTATTACGTACGGTTCGTCCGATAGACAACACCGGCATCGCGATCCTCCGCCCGCCCCGTTGCAAATCCGCTGGCGAAAAGTACACACTCAGGCCCTGTTTACACTGTCTTTGTTTTTAAATGGCATTTTAGAACGACAACGATTTGACATCCACAGTGGCGTGTAGCATTTCTGAGCAGCCCTCCTTCCTCACTACCTCTGAAAATGCACATCGCGTGACCACACAAACACAGACACACACACAGCCATGCGCTCGAGACAGCAGGTGCAGGCAGTCAGAGGACTGCTTCAATCTTTCACTCACTTGTACTTAGTCATTTTAGCAAACACCTCAGATACTGTTGGCTGGTTCCTGTTGGTTGTGCGTCTTTTTTACAGACGCCATTATAACGACACAGATCACTGCCTATTCACGAGTCCCGCAGAAAAAGTGATTGACAGGTGGTAATTATGTGTGTGTCTTGCCTTTATTCATTTACTGTATGATTTGTTTATGGGTAAAACAAAGACCATGCAGGTCAGGTAGTTTAAACGGTAGGCTACTAATAATTAATTGGTCATTCATTAATTATTCATAATCGAAAATCGAATCGAATCGTGCCTTCAGAATGGAAAATGTAATCGAATCGAGGATTTGGAGGATCGTGACACTCTTAGCAAAAAGTCAAAGAGAAGGTCTAAAAGAGCCGATTCAGTGGAGTCAGAGTTCTCCAGAGTTCTGGAGTCAGAGTTCTGTTTCTAAACGCATCCTGAGGGTTAAAGTCTGTGTGTTTCAACAAAAGCGTCTGGTTTAAAAGAGCTGCTCACCTAAAATGCCCATGTCGTATCTGCCGCTCTTCTTGGCGTTCTGGATGACGGCGCTCAGCGTGTCGGAGAAATACTGAAACAGAGCGTTCTGCTGCTGCACCTCCATTCCCAGAATCCTGTTCAGGAACTTCCCGATGTTGTTGTAATCTTTGAAGAAGATGTGAAGACATTAAAGTCAGAATTAAACATGAATGCAGAAGCGGAGAGAGTAGCGGAGAGCGTCTGACCTTTGTCCAGCGAGAGAACTCCAGACCGGTCCTCCACGTTTATCAGCCCCACGCCGATCAAGCCATTGCGGATTTCTGTCAAACACACACATCAACACTAAGATACGTGTGGGTTTCCAGTCTCCTGTGATGAATACGAGAGCGCAGACTGTACCTTTAAAGAAATCTCCATCAAAGTCAGCAGGAGGAGACACCAGAGGAGAGTCCAGACTCACGATGGACTTCATGACGATCTCCAGAGCGTTTCTGCCATACTGCACAGAGGGAAACAGCAGATGGGTTTAACCGTGCGGCAGAACACATTAAAACAAGATTACACTGTTCTCTAATGTCTAAATAGCAAGCGGCTAAGGTGAGTGCAAAAACTCTTCCTGAAAATTTGGCCCTAATATGTGACAGATGGATTTGACCATATTTGGAAGAGTCATGAATATTAATGAGCTTTAATCAGCTCATGCCACTGCCTCATGACACATCTCCATTTCTTATACAATTTATTGGCCCTAATATGCAATGGACGGCTTTATATTTGGAAGGGTCATGAATATTAATGAGCTCTGATCATTTTATGTCAATGCCTGAGGTCACACACAGCTCCATTACTCACACAATCAATAGGGTATATGCTGAAGCATGCTTATGGGACTTTTAATTAGCCAGTACCTGAGCTAAGCTCTTCCGGTGAACTGTATGCCAATGCAAAACCGGCGCGTTTAAGGTGGCTGTGTGATATATCTGATGTAAAGTGGCTCTCAGATTGCACAAGAAGCACTGCATTAAAGTACATTTCCCCCACCATGTGTTTATAATACCAGCATTTATTTTACCCCAGTATATTCAATGGAGCTTCTGCGCTAGCCTGCTGATTCTGACAGGCGCGTGCAAGTAAACTGCTTTTTGTCTCGTTTTAGGCTTGAGCAACTAAATGAAAAAGCCAGTCTGTTTAACTGAATGTATTTTAATGACATTACAACATCGATGCTGTAAAAGGAACCGTATAAAATGATAAAAAAACTCACAATAACAGCTCACCAGAAGTTTCAGCATGGAAACAACACTAGCTCGGCATATACCCCATTGGCCCTAATATGCGCTGGATGGCTTTGACCATATTTGGAAGGGTCATGAATATTAATAAGCTCTCACACTCTCTCTCACAAGATGCAGGGCTGCCTGATTATGAGGGAAAATCATAATCACAATTATACTGTTTATAACGGTAACCAGAAAGAAATGGAGACATTTCCCTCCTGTAAATAATGTATTACACCTACACATTTCATCATGCTGAATGAGACAAAGCAATAAACTAACTAACAGAGAGTTCACACAATGATGAAGAGGAAAAACAACAGAATAAAGACATACAACTGAACCAGACTGTGCTGCAGGCGTCTGCACTGACAATTACAGTAGATGTGTTCCTTAATAACTCTACACCAGTCATCTGTGTGTGTGTGTGTGTGTGTGTGTGTGTGTGTGTGTGTGTGTGTACTCCAGACTCACTTTATTGTCGAAGTTAAAGCGGCTGAGGTCTCTGGTCTCGGTGGCTCTTCTGTCTCCATGTGTTAAAGCGCCCTGTTTGACCCACACAAGCACGATTAGACACACACAGTTCAATCTGCCCAAGCTATCGGTGTGTGTGTGTGTGTGTGTGTGTGTGTGTGTGTGTTGCCGACGCACCAGACTCTCCAGGCGTTTGGCCACTATAGAGGCGAATCTCTGCTCTCCAGCCAGCTCTGAGATCAGGAACACATACTCTGGTGCTGTGACCTGGTTAGATCTGTGTGTTCGACCTGTGTGGGGACAAATACAGCGTGAGTAGACTGAAAACACACACTTAACACTTCCATACAGCTCTACACTAATAATACACTCGCTGTGATCAATGTCTAATCAATTGCATTGATTAAAATAATATGCAATTGAAATAAACTGTGCACGCTAGACTGCACTTACTGATGAAAACCCTCACACACACACACACACACACACCTGCATTATGCAAGAAATGTCCGTTTATGATATGCATGACTGAAGAAACTGCACGGCATTGATAATAACTGGTTTGTTAAACCGCGCACACGTGATTCTAACACT